GCTTCACATCCATTGACGGGCACGGAGGAGGCAGACACATGGGATAAGTTTTCCAAGTTAGAGTAGCTGCACTTTTAAGTAACATTATAGCCCTGAAGGGCTTTTGAGAGAACTAAAGGACCTGAGAAAGCTGCCTTTTTAATGCTGATCTCAAAAGGGAAGTCACTCCATGGACTCTATTAAACTATTACTTTAGTCCCCTCCTTTAGGAGCCGGAGCTAGGGAGAGGCTCCTTTGGATCGCTGGTTCTGTTTGCATCTGAAACACCACTTTAACCACACCGGTTCGTTTCTGTGTGTTTGAGCCTCACTCCTTATTCACTATCCGTTCTGCAAGTCCATCCTTTCAAAAGACACATGGGGACTGACGCATTTTAAAAACAGCTTTAGCACAAACTAGGATGAATTAATAACATGCAAATCTTTCAGTTATTTACTTCACATAGAACATGTCTGAAAATCAGAGCCATTTTAGTAGCGTTTGGGAACAAAGGAACCACTGATAATTTTAATAGCTTAAAAATAACAAGAAGAAGATGAGGAAGAGTTTGCAAGGCAGTAAGGCAAGTGTCTCCATTGCTAAACACCAGAGCAGCAGAGAAGAGGGGTGAAAAACATGAACAACCTGACCTTGGGCCAGGCTCCTGCCCTGGACCTGCCTTTCTGGCCACGTAAATCCCACTACAAATTCATGGGTAAATAATATCTGACTGGTTTTACCCATTTCCATTTATACTTCGGAGGCAGCAGTGAGATCCCATTTCTATGGAAATAAAATGTAGGGTTAATCCCCCTTTTGCTGCCGTCGGAGTTCTCTTTGTGAGGCCGTTCAAGGTCAGAGCTGCAGCTCTCGAATGTTCAGTGATTCCAAACCAGCCCTTCAGGGCGTTTTAGGAACTTGAGAAATCAGAGACAACCGCCAGGGAGCTGTGCAACAACTCCCAGCACACTGTACCCTACGCTAAGGAGATGGTATTTGGTGTAGGTAGCTGATGGAAGCAGAGCAAACAGGAGCTATTTCTGTAAAAAAGCCACTAGAATAGCAGATTTCTTTTCAAGTAAGGATTTACATACTGCATCTGCACTGCTGCACTCATGGGTGGTGCCTCCTCCCTTTGCGTTTCGGTAACATCACTGGAGGCATCCGAGGAACAGGTTCAGACTTGAGCAGCAATGCGTTCCGAAAGGAACCAAAGGCGAGAGTTTTAAGGTGAACGAGACCATGTGCCTCTCTGTTTGCTGGTCTCTGTTGTGGTGTGAATCTTGCTTACAAAAACTCACAGCCCTGTTTCATAGCAATATCAATAAGGCCCTTGTTTCAAAGGCTGATGTTGCTTTTCTGGGAGACAAGTAGAAGAAGGTGCAGTTGGATATGAAAGATGGGAAAGACAGAAAGAAAGCGATAGAGGCAGGCAAGGAGGAGGATGCAGAAGGAGAGAGTGCATTTCCTAGGAATGTGTGATTGCAAGTGTTCAGCAAACCCGAAAACTAATGCTGTTATGGGAAATCTTGGTGAAACCATGCAGAGAATTCGCCTACTGATGCTTCTGCATGGGGTGTCCAAGCTGGGATTCAGCTGCTCATCCCAGCTGCTCGATTTCCCCACTCTGACACCGAAAACATCCATGAGAAGTGGATGGATTAGTCTCCTCGCGGGAGGATTTGTCTTCCCCCAACTCCACAGCTTGGCTTCGGGATTTCGGGCTTAATCATTAATTTGCATTAGTGCCCAGCCTGCATGCCGGCGGTGCAGCGAGAGGGAGCAGCGAGAGGAACCAGCAGCTCAAGGAGCTGCACTTTTAGGGGTTCCTATTTTCCTATTTCCTATTTTCCTGAGAAACTCTCACACTCTCCGCATTATTGTCATTAATTCAGTGCTCCATGACTGCTTATACCCAGTTTGCCTTTCCAGTGTTGGATTTTTCTTACAAGGTGGATTCCAAGGTGCATTACGGCTGAGAGCCCCTCTTGCCTGACCCTTCGTGCCTGCTGCATGCCCCAGAAAACACGTCTATGTTCGCATGCAAAACTGGGTTTCTACCTCCCGGGTAGTGCTGCAAAAGCATTGTAAATGCTTGCAAAAGGATGGCCTGTAAAACCACTGCTGCTGCTAGGAAAGAGCACAAGGAAGCATAGGATGGGGTCTCAGCTACCTTGGAATTTGGGAAATCTTTGTGTGAGGGAGGCTAGAGAGGGGAGCAGGCGAAGCAGCTTCCAAGCATTATTAAAACATGGTTTTCCGAGACGTGCTGTTCCGACCCTCCAGCTAGCGATCACAGAGGACAGGCAGACCATACACAGCATGAGTCACCCCTGAAAAATCCCCGAATGCGAGAGATGGTCGAGATAGCGCCGCGCTCCCGCGCCAGCCCAGAAACCCTGGGCTGAAGTTGGCACCGGCTGCCCTGAGCCTGTCCCCAAGTGTTTCAGCCTCCAGGCTTTTGCATGGAGCAGGGCTGAACACTGGGATGGGGATTGAGCGGGAGCCGCGAAGGCTTCTCTCCGTAACGGAGCTCGTGCCCGTCGCTCTGTCTTTGTCATTTCTCATCCTACTGATGTTAAAACCCACCGGTCAAGTTCAACAAGACTCAGCAGGTTATAAAGGCCTCCAGGTGACTACAGTCATGTCGTTTTTTGTGTAAACAGGCAGTTGGGTAAAAAAGGGAGAGGCAAATGAATGTCCCTTCCTCTTCCTCGGCAAGGAAGGGTTGTAGCGCCAGAGAGCCCAGCTGGGAGAAGGGCAGGAAACCTGCTGCCCAAAGGGCATTGACAGTATTTTAAAGATCCCTAGTAGGATCTGCATAGTGCAAAAAATACTTCATTATTCTTAGCAATTCTCTGAGAAATATCTCATTGTACATTACACGGAAGGGAACAGAAGCACTAAATTAATTGGGTTTCAGGTGAATAATAGCACTTAGAAAGCTGTAACCTCAGTCTCTCGTTTTCTCTACCAGTTTTTCCTAGAGGGTGTGACATTTGCTGTAGGCATCTCCAATATTGCAGGTTGCCACCCTGCGGTCCTCCCATCCCCATCTTCTCTCTATGGCCAGGTGGGTTGGCCGGGACACGTCATCCAGGAAGGGGAAGGCAAGGGCAGGAGCCCGGCCGGCTCCGCACACTCGGGGCATTGTGCACGAATGGGAAAATCCGGAGAACGTTCCTGAAGGTCGCGGTGACCGCCAAGGAGTGCCAGGGTATTCAGAGCGCCTTGGCGTGTCCACCCAGGGCCAACCCGGAGATGGGATCCAAGCCAGATTCCACCTTCTATCAACTTTCATCCTGCTTTTTTATTGTATTTTATTTTATTTTTGGGGGGAAAAGAAAGGCTACCAGGCAAGAAAAAGAATCAGGTTTGCTGCTGTATTTTAATTCTTTCCTCCTTCTAGTTTTAATTATGAGGAGTTTAGGTGTTCCAAGGTAGGAAAGTCCCTCCACGTGGAGCAGGTCTCAGCATCTCAGCTGCTGCTCAGCTACAAAATTAATGAATAAAAATTAATGAACTGCCCTACACAAACTCTGCCGTAAGGGGGAAAACTGTAGTAAAGACCAGGTAGAGATTTGCAGGAATTTAGCCTGTCCTATTGGTTTGTGTCCAGGAGAGCATGAAAGGAGCCTTCCTGCTTTGCTTTTTGGAGGCATCTGTCTTGGCCTGACCTTAAGAGACTTGGGGAGAGCCCTGGAGGAGCGAGCACCAATGTTCCAGCAGCAAGTGATGCTTTTCCCATGTCTCTGCTATGCAAGTTCCCTGTGATACACGTGCCCTGGTTTGTTTAGCAGCCCTCCTGTAACACTGTTGCTGGAGAGCGTGTGTTTTGGAGAAAACACTTGAAGAAAACATACATTTTTGGAGAAAACACATGTTTTTGGAGAAAGCATATGTTTTTGTAGCAAACTCCGTGCATTTTTAGCACCGGAACCCCTTATGCAGTTACCAGCTGTAGCTAGGCAGCTGCTGCTAGGAGATCAGCCTGTGTTCATAGCTCTGGAGGCTTTTCCAACCTCCCCGAGAGGCACAACTGAACCTCAGCGTATGCAGAAGGGAAGCAGCTCTGCTTTGAGCCTGCTGCTGGGAATCCACGGCTCTCCGGTGTCCGGAAAATCCCACGGGAGCACAAGGCTGCACCTTTACAGCGTGGCTGGGTCCTTCCCGAGTTGTTTACGGCCTGGCTAGAAACCAAGGGAACGTTCTCCAAGCCAAAGGAGGGACACGAGGCAGTTCAAGCTTTGCTAAAGCATCTAGAAACCGCTGAGCAAAGGTTAGAATTTCCATTGCTTTCCGTTAGCTTAAGATATGATCTTAGCCCTTGAGTGAAGGGGCAAAAAGGCAGGATGTGCTGGTTGCACAGAATGCTTCTAATCTCCATGGAGATACTGGACATCGGTACCCAGGGATTTATGCTGGAGCATTTTGTGTCACCTGCTGGCAGCCATGCCCATCTTTGAACTAAACAGCCCTTTTCATCTGTATTTTAATATTCAAAATGAATGATCCAGGCCCTTATTTCAAATATAACTTGGCAAATCCTCAAAGCTGCTCCTCTGAGCTATAGGCAAAGAATACCAGGTATTTCTGAAAAAATGCGGGGGTAACTATTTGACACTGCTTCTCCACAAGCAAAAGACGTAGAGAGAGCACCCAGTTAGTTATTCCAGATTTGCAAGACATGCATTGAGTGCTACCAAAGGGAAGGATGTAGAAAAAGCAAGAAAATTAGGTACAAAAGCATGCAGATCACCTGCACAGCTACCAGCAAGCTTGTCACTAGAGATAACTCTTAAGAAGATAGAGATAGAAAGTATAGTGGCTTTATATTAGCCACTAATGTCAAAATATAGGTTCCGAAGGCTGACAAGAACTACATGCAGCGGGAAAATGGCAACTCTAATTACCAGAGCAAATGAGCAAAGAGAAAAATGCACCTTACAGCCTTGCCCAGGTCATTCATGCCTGGCAAAGTGACCCGCAGTGATCTTGCCTTTTGCAGCCGGGGCTCTGCGATGGCCTTCGTGCCACCGAAGAGGAAGAAGAACAAGAAATCCCTGGTGCAGAGAGGCAGCCAAACGCAGGCCAGACCCTTATCAGCTGGCAGAGGTGACTCTTGGAGCCTTGTTGTTAACTATTGATTGTCTTGAGTCCTACAGAGCGTTCTCTGTTGATACCACTATTAATGTGATTGCACTTTATACTAGTCAAAGTACTGGGCATATATATTTATGTACACTTATATGTATATACATATATGTGTGTTGTGTGTATTTTATATATATATATATTTATATGTAATACAGTTGTATGTATTACATTTATAGGTAATACATATATGTAATATATTTATGTTTATTCATATACATACACACAAATATATATTATATATAATATATGTACACACACAGAGTCTCTGCACACACACACATGTGTATAATAGGTTTGTGTACATATATGCACACACATTTTATATATAGACACACGCACCCTATATATATTATATATGTGCAATATATATATATAAAATAGTGTACATGTATGTGTGTGTGGATAGTGTTCTCCATCACTGATGTTGTGCTCTGGCTTGTGCGAAATAGTTGTAGAGTATCTTTTCATATAGGTATGTGCATATTTATACATGTATATACATACCTACACACACCCCTATATGTATATAAATGTATTTATGGGGGTGTGTGTGTGTGTGTGTATATATAGATAGATAGATATAGATGTGTATATATGATATTATGTAGATATATACACACACACACACACACGCCTATGCATGTGCATGTGTGTGTGTATATATACATATATATATCTATATGTAGGTATACATATGAATATAGGGGGTGTATATACATACACACTATATATTTTTATATATCTATGCTATATATATGTGCAATAGTGTACATGTGTGTATATGTATATATGCATTACATTAGTGTACATGTGTGTATATGTATATATGAATACGTATATACATGTAATATTTACATACATGTATACACATGTTTATATATGCATACATATAATGTATAGTGCTAATCCCTATATGTATATATGTATGTATATACATACACATATGTCTATATATATATAGTCTAAGCAGGAAATTCAAGGCAGGAGTACAGGGATTAGCAGTGATAATAGTACTTTGCAAGAACATTAAAGGCTTTGGCTCTTAGACTCCTTTGGTGCAAAGTACTAAAAGAACAAGCAGAAATTTAATGTAGTTCCTGCTTAAAAGAGTGTTGACAGGTAGAGCACAAAGAAGACATAAAACAAGTGCTTGTAAAGTATAAGAGATAACAGTGTCCAATACCTTCTCCCCACTTATGTCAATAGGAGTTTTGCCGTTGAGTTAGATTTTTTTCCTCATGTGATCACATGATTTTATGGAAGAAATAACCATAAAAGAACAGTCCAAAGAGTAGATAAATTCCAGGCTTGCCACTAGCTTGCTTCCTGCTCCCTCCTTCCCTGCCACCTCCCCATTCCAATGGGAGCAGAACAAAGCCGAAATGGAGCTTTTTTCCTACCTACAGGATTTATTGCTCTCCCAAACTTTATGCACAGCCAATTTCAAGAGACACCTGAGGCATAATTTCTCAGCCCCTGGTAGAATTATGGTTTCCTATGTCATCTTTGATTTTTACTGGATCATTTCTAACCAATACTAGATCCTAGCTTGATAAAGAGAAATTCAGCAGATGCTAATTTAGCCTCTAAAGGAAATTGGAGCGAAAGGAGGCATTTGCTATCCCCATAAGATCTTGCTATCTTTTTTGCTAATGCCTTTAATCCCTTTCCCTGTTTTCCTTACTCTTCTTTTTTTCCTACAGTACCACAGTGTGCAACAAGCAAGCCTCTAGCCAAGCTTTGCTATTTTAAAGGTAGTCAAATATGTATATTTTATATATATATATGAGTTAAAAGAAATATATTCAGAGACCTGAAACATGGATAAATAATGGTTCTGAGTCTTATTTTGCCTTGGGAAAGGAAGATCCAGGGATTTTTGCTGTGTGTTATACAGAAAAATCTCTGGATAGAGGCAGCTTTATAGTTTTTTTATTCCTAGAAGGCAAACAAGTTCAAATAATTCACAATAGTGAAAGATAGATACAAGCTCTGTCATTCTCTGCTGGGAATAGCCCTTACACGTGAGGCAGCTCTCATTAACTTTTTACTAAAAAAAATCATTATCGGCTGCATATTAATCAGCTTCTGAGCCCTGGGATAAATAACAGAACCATTTCAAGTCCTGACATGATGAGTTATCAAACGCAGGTAAGGTGTTTTTCATCCATATCCCTACGGTTGTTGTCGGCACAGTTAATGTGTGCAATTTCTGGCTGCCTGTTGATGGAACATCAGAGCTGTCACGTCAGGATGTGACACTTGTTCTAAATCCTCTAGGCTTTATTAGATGAATAAAAATACATCTGTTTCAATGTATAGTGTATGGCCAATACCTTTGGGAGGTATTGGCCCTCTTCCTGCCCCTACACATCTCTGGACCTTGCAGTCCATCAGGATCCCATAGCCCTCCCAATCAATCCATCTGGACAGCTGGAATGATCTGTGCTCAGTTCTACTATTTCCTCTGTTCTTCCATTTAAAATGATCTGTGCTCAGAATAAGAAATAGGTAGGTAAAATAAGAAATATTTTCTGAATTGCTGTAATATAGGCCCCATATCAATTTAAGAGTTCATTTACCATATTTCCTTCCCTAGCAGCTGTCTTACTAGATGTGCATTTTATGAAAAAGATACCTGATCATCTGAAGTCTCTCCATTTCCAACTTTGCAGCTATTCCTAGCACCTTTGAAGTGAAACCTGATGAAGTCAGGTCTAAAGAGACTGCAACATGTGGTGAGGAGTGTCCTGAACCAAAACAGACAGTAGAAGAGACACCAAATGTACCACAGGGACCAGGACCATATTTTTATATTGGTGGATCTAATGGAGCTGGGCTGTAAGTAGGTTGCTTGAGAGACAGGGGACCCAAGTCCCCTTGGGTTACAGTGTCAGGAGTTTGAGGGATCTGAGCTAAGTGTTCTTAATGGAAAGGAGGCTATTTTGCTCTTTCATTTTCCATATGCAGGGTGAGCATCTACTGCCAGAGACGAGGCTGGCAGCGTATCTATGACAACAGAAGAGAGGATTATGCACTGAAATGGTGTGAGACCAAGTGCCGAGAGACCTATAACAGCTTCAAAGAAGGTAGAAGTGTCAGCCAGCTTGAGTGGGAAAGGGTGATGAGGAAAAACTTGGGAATGCTGAACTTTTGTGACTCCCAGGCTAGAGAAGTTTGCCTGCAGGGTGGGGAAAGCTAGTACTGCCTTAAAGTAAATGGGTGAAAGTCAACAGTGACAAGGTTAGCCTCATCCTCCAGCTTCTGCTGCATGGAACGATAAGGACAAGGTTTATTTTTGTTGGTTTTGTTTTCCTCATACAGGTGAGCAGCTTCTCTACCAGATTCCCAACAACGGAATCCTCACCACCAAGATAGGTCTCCTAAACTGCCTGAGAGAACAAGAGCGGGTGATGAACAAGATCACCTGGAGCTCTAATTACAAGTAAGAACTCTAATTTCTTTGAACCTTGGTCAGAAACACAAGCCAACAAGAAGAAAGCGTGCATAAGAAAAGCATCCTCCTTTCTGATGAGGAGCCATGAGAGCCTTGCAGCCATCTTCTCTGGAAGTAACAGGGGAATTATGATGTTGGACAGGATTTTCAGCTTGTGTTTGGTTTGATCACAGGTTTCTGAAGATGGAAGACTTCTTCCCAGAATCTTTTCGTCTGGACTTAAAAGATGAAAGGAATGCCTTTTTTGAGCTTTGCCAAGGTGAATGGTATTGATGATGCCAGCAGTCAGTTTAAACAGCTATATGATGCTCTGAAGAAGTCATAAAATATGAGCAATAGCAGTAATTTTGATGTCTTTGCTGCCCAGATATTGTCCTAAATTTGTGCAGGTGTATACCACACACATAAAATACATGCATATAAACATATATATATATGCACACACGCACATTTAAATGAGAGCTTGCTAATTGGCACACCAGTGTTTGATGCTATACAGATGCCTACAACAGACTCGTCGTTTCTGCAGAAGGAGATATTTGGATCTGCAAACCAACTTGCTCTAACCAAGGCCGAGGGATTTTCCTTCTGAAAAATAAAGCTGCTGTCACCACCTACCAGGCCAAGCTCCACAGCACGGAGGAAGACCAACTCAGTAAGAAGGGCTCGTGCAAGGTTCCTCAGGCCAGAATAGTGCAAAGGTAGGCACTGAAGCCTCATAATTTATGTGCCAGAAGTGTGCTTGGTTAAGCCCTACTGGCCTCAAATTGTTGAATCTTTCCCTCACTATTCAACTATCATGGTTACACCACACCTTACCTTCTTTATAGCCTATGTGCAGGAGAGAGGATATTTCTCTGGTTAGCTCTGTCTGCTAGAATGTTTTGTGCAGTGTCAGTGTAACAGAGAAAGGAGCAGAGAAAAATAAGACAGCAGTAGCCATGAGAACAGCTTCAGCTCCTGATAGTTACTGTCTCATTTGAACACGACTGAATTAACTTGAGGGAGATGTTATAAATAAATCACTTCAGTGCTTTGAGATGAATGGATTAAACTTTCAACCAGCAGGGCAAAAGATTCATTAAAGGTTTTCATTATTTATTGTAGGAGTTGCAGTTCTTAGATGCTTTTGATTCTTTATTATGCACAGCAACCCTTTGGCTGGGCCTGTAAGGACACTCTGCACCTCATGGTACCCATGCAACAGAGCATGACATCAACTGGCATTTTCATGACATGTCAGCAATCAAATTGCCATGTGCTAGTGACATGCCGTAATATCAGGGTGGCAAAGCACATCTTGCCACATGGTGACCACATCATGTCCTAGCAGAACAGTAATACTCACTCTAACAGCATATCCTTGTTATTTATATAAACATCCAGCAACCTTTGAAGATAAAGGGAATTAATTCCCAGGCCATGTCAGGATGGCAATAAAAGCAATGGTGCTCCATGAAGGGCTCTTTGTGTTCAGATATAAACCTTGTATATTCTCCAGTAAGTATTAGTAAATCTTTAATGATCTCCCACTCCAGAGAATAAGCACAACTTCTATTTCAGATGAAAGAGTCTGTTCTTGGCATTTATATCACCTCCTACAAGCGCCCTCTGGTGCCGCTCACCTAAAAAAAGGTTGAAAAAGATCAATTCTGCAGTGTGAAATGAGCAGGCTCTGTTGTTTTGTGCAAACTTGCACCTTCCACATGTTAGGGCTGCTTGTTGATGCCGTGTTCTGCACAATTATTGCTCTGATAGGTACATTCACCAGCCTCTGCTCCTAGAAGGCAAGAAGTTTGACGTCCGGTCCTACCTCCTCGTTGCCTGCACGGCACCCTACATGTTGTTTTTTGCCCAAGGTTATGTCCGGTTGACCTGTACCTGTTACGATGCTGCTTCGGATGATCTGACGGCTCATCTGACTAATCAGGTAAACCAGAAACAAAAATACAGTGTTTAACTTTTGAGATCTGTGACTAAAGATCCTCAGCATGGACCATATATGTCTATAGTGACCTGTTTCTGCTCATGGACTGGTAAATGGTTGATCTAGAGACGTCTCTTTCAGCAGTGCAGTTAGTTCAGAAGATGCAGGGCTCAACAGGGAGCAGATGGGTAGATGGGGAGCAAAAAAAGACCTTTGAAAGGCTTCCCTCATGCAAAGTCTGGACACCCATGAAATAGGGATGGACTTATAGTCAGTCATGGCAGCAAATTTGAATGGAAAGGATATTGGAACAAAAAGGATCAGAAAGAAGAAAATGGTTTTGTTTGAAAGGCATTTTCCTCCGCCCAATATTCTGCTGAGTTCTGAGAATTAGCAAAACACCTTTTGGAGAGACATATCAGGCGAACCTACTTCAGTTCTTGTTGGAGTTTTATGGTTCCTGCAAAAGTGCAGCTCAGGACAGTGGATTATAGCTGCTTCCTGCAATATATGACATTATCAGTGCACTACTTGTTTTCCTGGAATAGTTTATTTGCTCAGTTGGAGGGCCATCCACAGGGGAATTCAGGCACTGAGGTAGGATCCCAAGACACAGCTGACATTAAACAAGGGACAGATGTTTACTAGGAGAACGTAAATTATCTAAGATCCTGCTGGGAGGAGGGAAATATGATTTACCTGCACCTGAGCACCTGGTCATAGCACAGACTTTTCCAAATCACAGTTAATTCCTCCCTCATTCCCTTCCTGCTCTTTCTTCCTGCTCAGAGTCAACAATTTTCCTCCTGTCAAAAGAGAAGTGGTGGTTGTAGCCAGGCCAAGCTGTTTTGCAGGGGACAGGGAGCTGCTTTTATCCAAATAGGGTAAAGAGCCCATTATCCGTAAGCTCCAAGATTAAATGAGACAGTGGAAGAGAAGCCCTCGCCCAGGTTTCCTCTGGGGATGCCTGTGTTTCTCAGACATATTTCCCAGCTCCTAGGCAGGTAGACATTATTAGCAATGGGATTTATTCCAGAAAACATCATTAACGTTAATCATTAATGGACTTGAAAGCACCACTCCCTGTCTGCCAGGCTGTGGCTCAGAGATGCTGTATGGGAAGACACACAGGGAGCAATGGCAGTGCAGTGAGTGTCCCCACTATTCTTTCCACCTTTCTAATTTGGTCCTTCCCAACTCCAGATGCTTGGAACGACACAAGAGAGCTGGATGTCCTCTGTGCAGCCTGGTTCCTAGTTCCTCCTCACTGCTGGAAATCTAATCCTCCCTTTGCTCCTGTCCCCATTTCTCAGTACATGCAGAAGAAGAACCCCCTGTACAACCAGCTGAAAGAGGAGACAATCTGGCGGATGGAGCAATTCAACAGCTACGTTAATGAGAAGTTCAGGAAAGCCAAGGGTCTCCCCAAGGACTGGGTTTTCACTGTGTTTACTGTGAGTACATGCAAGTCTACAGCATGCCAGGCTGCCTAATGAGAGGAACAGGAATACAGCAACCCCCCAATTCCCTGGAGCTTCCCAGAAAACATATGAGCTGAGGGAGAGGGGGCAGAGAACAGCTCTCTGAGGTTTGTTTTGTTAATGTTACAATTTAAACCCAAAGAAAAGTAAAAAGGTAAAACCTTTGTTAAAATGCTTTAGGATTTAGAAAAACACTTCAAAAGCAAATCTAGTTGAGTTTGCTAAAAGTTTCTCAGGGATCGGTAGCTTTTCAGCCAACTTTCTCTTATGACTTTAACAGACATGTCCAAGCATGCCTTTCAACTCCAAATTCGGTGAAAATCTGGGATCACCCACTATAAATTGTTGTAACTCATCACACTTCAAGCAGGGGGGGCATCTGCTCAAGATGGGCAGATGTGGTTTGCAAAAAGCAACATCCTTCCAAAGCTAGAGAGGCCTCTGCTCCCTAGACCAAGGGGTGGCCTTGGTGACCTGCAGCAACTCCCATGCTCTTGAATTTTGGACTGATGGACAGTGGTGGTTCTCTGTCTCAGAAAAGGATGCAGCAGATCATGGTGCAGTGCTTCCTGGCAGCCAAGCTCAGGCTGGAGCGCAAGCTGGGCTACTTCGATCTCATCGGCTGTGACTTCTTAATTGATGAAAACTTTAAGGTACTGAATACAACATTGTCACACACTGGGTATAATATTAAACAGATATCTAATAGCAAGAGTGGAGCACGGTTGACAAGCTATGATGTATTTGTGTAATGCCTCTAATGTCACAAGAACTAAACTGATGTACACAAGATGAGGATCCACCAGTGCAGCAAAGAACTCGCCCTATTGCTGTAACGAAGCATCCGTCATTATTGATTCAGGTGTCAGCGTCAGAATCTGTGTTCACTCCAGATTTAGCACTCGACCAGCCTCACTGGGTTCATAACGTGCTAGAATCACAGCTCCCGCTCATAAAGAGTGAATGAAAACCAGACAAGAAAAGCCAAAAGAAAGGGAAATAATCAATACTGCGATTGCACCGCTTTCAGTGCAACGCAGCCCTGCAATAACCACCTGGCCTAAACACAACAGAAAACCATCTGGCTGATTCTGCTGTTGCTAAAGCAGAAAGGAATTCAAACCTATTCCAGCGAAGGGCAGTGGGAACGGCAAACCTTAGGAAAGAATGGAAATAATGTGTGCAGCACAGGGCAAGGCACCCAGACAATGGCCTCCTTTGTAGGGGAAGTCAATGACAAGGCAGAGTAAATGGCAAAGACACAGAAACTGGCCGCTTCTCACATTTCAGCAGCAATTGTCCTTTGCAATGTTGGCATGCACAGCTTGGGCTGTGTAAACCTTAAGTAGAATAGGAGATCCGATATCACTCTATTGTGGCAATTCCTACTTGGCTGGTTAAAAACTCGAACTCAGCTTCAGCGAAAACACAGCATTTAGAGACTCTCACATCCCATGTGTGTTATGTGTGGAGAGGGAAACAAAACATGTTTCTTTACAAATATTATCGGTAAGAATGAGGAGGATTTCTAGGCTGAGAAACTAGAAGCTTAGAAAATTAAAAACAGGCACAGGAGGAACCTCTGAAAGAGAGTAAAGTGTGAATCCAGGCATTTATTTAGCATAGATTTGTCTGTCTTTTCCTTGCCCTTGAAGCAATAAACCTCCTGCTCTGTGCAGGGGGCTCCCAGTGCTGCGTGGGCAGATATTGCAGCTCCTGTTGTGGCATCCTGCCCTCCCCATCTGTAACACACCGTGACCTTATTCCCCTGTACACTCGCTCGTGGTGTTAACCACTGCAAATAGCTCTCTTGGCTGAACACATTTTTGTGAACATCAGAAAGCCTCAGAAGAGTTTTTTCTTTGATTGCTTTTGGGGGGGATTTAATTACTATTATTATTGACGTGCCAGCTTTCGTATAATTCATCCAGTCCTTATGAAAAATCTGTCTTGCCTGCAATCTGATGGGATTTTTTTAGTACTCCTACCCCTCAAGGTGTTCATGCAGCCTGGAAAAACACATTGCTGTGAGTTTGAGGGCACCAAGCCCGAGTTACAATTTCTGATCATCTTTCCTAGATCTGGCTGCTGGAGATGAATGCAAATCCAGCGTTGCACACCAACTGCAAGGTCTTGCGAGACATCATTCCCACCATAGTCTACGAGAGCCTTGGTAAGTGGACAAGTCACAGCGTGGCCATCCCCACATAACCATGTCACTCCATCACTTGTCAGAGGAAAGACTACACTATAAATACAGTTATTTTTGCGTGCATCCACGTGTTTATTTTGAGGGTGTTATTCATATCCTTTATTGCCTGCAGCTTCACAATATTTTTCCTGCTTGAGATTCCTTGAAATGTTCCCCGTGGAGTTGACGTAGGTGAAGTGAATATAGGCGAAGGGGTAGTAAAATTGCCCTTTAAAATAAAATAAAAAAAAAAGCCTTAACAATAGCAGTCCACAGATGTTGCAGATCACAGGTTGGAAACCACTTCCCCTCACCTCTCCCTGTGCTCATGCACGAGGTGCCCTGTGCATGCACATGAGAGCTCGGGTGTATTTGGTGTCAGGGAGTTTAGACTCTCTCCTAACTGCATTGTCTTTTCCAGATCTGGTTCTGGAGCTTTTCAACAAGTGCCTCAAGGGCCAGAGCCTTTTGCCTTTAGAGACCCTTGGCCATTTTGTGCTTCTCTACAAGGAAGACGCTGCAGCCCCTGGTCAGAAAGCGGTGAAGCTCAGAACGTCCCCCTGCATGGGCAGATACCTGAGACCATGTGCAAGCAGCCCCAGCCTCTTTGGCCAGAGCTCTGCCAAACCATTGGAGAACTCTTCCAAGAAACTTCCATCCTCTGGAGAAAAGGTTGGCATCTTGCACAACCGGCATTGCCAACAGAGTATCCTACCTGTCCCACACATACAACTCTTCTGTGAGCAGGGAAAACCCTCTGAGCAGGCACAGAGGGTGAGGGCTTTCACGAGTCCAGAGGACATAAGAAGAAAATAAAAGCTAAGGTTGTGTGCACTGTGTGTGTGCTGATGATTTTCACCCAATATAAAAGAAAAAGTATCCAACTCACCCAATATAAAAGAAAAAGTATCCAACTCACCTAGAAAATTAGTTACTACCTCTGTAAGTACTTAGAAAACTGTATTTTAATAAAGCAGATAGAATTTATAGGGAAGTTACAGAGCTTTAGACATCCATTACCATGTTAAAACCCCTCCCTTTTAAGAACAACGTTGATCCTGCAGGTGCAACGCAGAAATTAGCCACATTTTTGTGTCCTTATACACAAAGGGGGGAAGAGAAGCTGCAACAACCAAGTCGGACAGGGGAAATCCCCGAGTTCTTTGCATCATCCCTAGGATGTACCTGGTTGTCCATCCAGATCGCTCACCCATTAGATGCTCAACGGTCTGCACGTTTCACCTGGCTACGTGAAGGCTCTTTCCTTTCTCGTTTGGTTGAGGTGACAGGACATATCTTCTGCATCAGGCCATCATCTTAGCAGGAAGCAATGACGTTTGCAGGACCTGGGAGAGGGGGAGGGAGGTTAAAACCAACAGGAAATGCTCAAATTCTGCAGCTTCTAACCCGCAAAGAATATAAACGAGCAGAAAGTGGAAGGGGACACATGCGTGTTTCCTTCCTCTCCTGTGCTTTCTCTGATCGTTCTTCAAGCACATTCACATGATCCTGTGACTGCAGCCCCAGTCTGGGGACCGGAGCAGGTTCCTGCGGACACGGGATCGCGCCGGAGCATGGGATGCTGCGGCCTGAGGCAGGCTGGGTCTGCAGGAATGGGCCAGGACGAGGTGGAGCTGCTCAAGACAGGAGCTACTCAAGGCAGGAGCAGGTAGGCAGCACTTCGGGGAGCGTATGAAAATCACCAAGCATCACCAAACAAAACAGTGCTTTTTCATGCTTGCAACGGAAACTCAATGGCTACATTTGTTTTTCAAATGTGGCTCCTTTAAAGAAAAAGCTGCTTCTTCCCTTTTTCTAGCCAGAATTTACAATAACACCAAATGTTACATACCTCCATCTGCAGCCTCGGTTCATGCACCATGATGAGGGTTTGCAGGCCTCATATTTTCCCTTAGTGCTGTAGTTAACTAAAGCAGCAGCGCTGCTCTTGGCAGATAGGAGTCAATCTGCCCATTCCCTGCTCAGTAGTATGAACCTTGTTGCCTTGTTGCTTTCTGAAATCTCTCTGGCAAGACAGTAGAACAAGTCATTCCTATTTCCCTCGCCTACGGGGCCTGCACCAAAGCCTGTGTCTCTCTAGATGAGACCGTCTTTTAAGAGAGAGGACCAGCTTTTGAGAAACTGAGGGTGGAAACGTTTCTTCCTGACACAGATAAGATCTGTGAAAGAAAGAGATCTTTCTCAGAAAGAAGAGTTTGTGTGTTGTAAAACACACAAACTTTATGCCAGAATTCCAGAAATGCGTCTTCTGCGTGAGCATGTATTTTTTGTTTCTGTAGCACATGAAAGTATTTTTCAATAAGTGCCTTTCCATATTCTCTTCTGTTTCAGAAAGTGGTCCATTTCAGAAGGCCAGAGTGAGGGATTCCTCCATCCTAAGGATCCTGTGTCCCCAACAGAGACACCAGATGTGAGTATGAGCAGGGGCAAGCTGATTTCATAAGCAGAGTCAAGGTGAAGATCACAGGCCTCTCTCACCCACTATGACATTATTCTAATATAGCATCCCATTGCAGTAAAGTGCATATGTGATACCATACCCCTTTAAAAGCATATAACAAAATTCTCTCTGTTTTAAGGACTAGACATTTTTTTCCAGCTTGTTTTTCCCTAAGATATACACGCTTTTCTCATAAAATGAAATTTCTCCTTAAATGAAAAGGAAGGTCTTCACGGAAGGGCAGAGGGTTCAACCCACATGTGTGTTTGTCATTGCAAGCCAGTTTTGGAATTTAGCTCTAGTTTGCATTTTCCCACCTCTAACTCTAACATGTCCATAGTGTCATTGCAAGCCAGTTTTGGAATTTAACATGTCTATTAGAACATGCTATACATGCTATGGATTGGGTTATGTTTTCCTCCTTCCAGGCAGAAGCGTTGTGGGGAAGAACACAGGAGGAACTAATGGACTTATTGATCACACAGCCTATCAGTGGCTGGGAAGGAGTAAACATCCACTCTCTTGGTGAAATTGTTTGTTCTTCTCTAGTTTTTCTAAGAAGTTATCGCATGGAGGTAATCGTTCTTATATTATAACCACATACGCAAGAGATATTTCCACCTCTGGAAAATTCTTTTAGCTTTTATGACTAGTGAGATAAAAACAGCTGGGGGAAATTTGGACTTCACATACTGTCACAACCACGGTCTGATCCCAGTGCTTGATTAAGGCCATAACCTAAGGCCATAACCTTGTCCTGACCCTTCTTTCCGAGAATTAATGCCAATACGTTCAGCTTTTTTCATCACAAGCTGAATAGATTTCGTGACCTCTTCTCTGATCAGCAACCACTTTTTCATTGCTTCCCAGATAGGGGAGGAAATCACCTCTTTTTGTTGAAGTATCTTTTCATTCAAGCCATCTCCATGGGTTTTGGGGGATGACTGATCAAAACAACGCATTTGTACTTACTATTATCCCTGATGCTAAAAAATGTCTAGAGTTCAGAAGAGAGTACTGAGATCTAGTTCAGTTTTGCCACAGATTCATCTCTGGTTATCTGCCTACATATGAATATGAGTAAAATCTCCTTATATCACAAGGATGCTGCTGTTTGGTTTATCAGTGCTCAAAAATCATTTTGAGAACATTTTAGAGAAGATGGTATAGAATTCCAAGGTTCTGACACCAAGCTTCAGTCAGAACATGACCTACTGCAGAGCAGTCCAGCAGCTAAACACCACATAGTCCTTATTTACCAACCAGCCATTAAAAACTACAGTCTATAAGCACTGTGTGTACATAAAGATGTACTAAATACTGCATCAGGAAAGAGAAGGGGAAGGTGAGGAGCTCTTGAGAGAGATTTATATTCCTTCTATTTTTAATATTTAACATGTTTTGGAAGAAAGATACGATTGATCTTATTTCAACAGGAGATGTGTGAATGCTACATTGTGCTGTTCTCCTTCCACTTGCTGATCCTCTCAGTGGATCACTCAAAGAAGTCATTTGTTTATGAGGTAAAGCACAAGATCCTCTTGTATCTACTGTATTCACGCTGCTATCAAGGGTTCCTAAACATCTCTTTGCATTTTGCAGTAGGGCTCACAGAAGTTGCTCATGCCAACTGTTTTTTTAACACAATTCCCCACCATACCAGGGTCTCCTTCCTCTTGCTGGGATGCGCGTGAGAAAGGTAGTGAGTGCAATCAGCAACACATTTGAAATCGCTGGTAAGTCTGTTCTGCACTATCTGGAAGGGGTTTTAATAGTCATAAGGCTGGTCCTCAAGGGCCAGTCCATGTGCATGGAAGAGGAGGGTTATGCAGCCACGTGGATACTCAGGGAAGAAGGGATTTGCCTTCTCTCCCAGTTTCAGCCATGCCTTCCTGGCCTGGGCTCTCTAGCCTGGTCTCCAGCAGCTATAACTGAGTAGACAATAAGACACAGCTAGATGGAAGGAATTTGAAATCCCAGGTTTTACAGGTAGATGCAATTGCTGCACAGCCTTAAGCGAGCTTTAAAGTTAACTGGAATTCCTCATACACAAGGTAATATAAGTTATATGGTCCCCTTTTTTTCTAATTTTCTACTTAAACAAACAGGAGGCAAATGTAGATGATTGAGATGAATTGCCCCAGGCTCAAAGGCATTTCACATCACAGATGCCCTTCCTCAAACCCAAGGCTTGTGTATTTCCTCACCCAGGATCCATGATAGAATCTAGACTCATCTGCTGCCAGAATTCAGCTGACTTGGACATGTGGGTTCAGCACCTCCAGCACCAAATTGAGAAGGCAAATGCTAACTGCCCCACCAGTCACAACAGCATCATCTCTTTTCTGGTGAGTCCATGTAGAACAGACATATAGAAAATGGGATGGGAACAGGAAAGGGCATTGAAACGGGCTAAGGCTTTTCAAGGATTGCTACAATCAGGCTAGAACTGAACGCTAGCATTACTTGAGGATGTTGTAGCTTCATTCTGGGCTAAGGCAAGTCAGCTGCTACATACGTTTTATCACTGAAAATGCACAAGTGCTGCTCCATGCACACGAGAGATTTTAGGAAATTTACTGACATTTTGTTCCCAGCTGTAACTTAAGGAGCATATTGAAATTACACAGTCAAAAAATTCAAGTTTCACCAAAAATAAAAGACTTGCTCCTCTGTACATTCTGGGCACAGTTACACAAATTCTTATAAATCATACTGCAACATCCCACAAGATGGCAGGATTACACTGATATTGAAACCACCCAGATACCTGTGCTTTAAAGAATTCCAGAGTACATCACACCTCTGGTTTTATCTCCTTTTGGTCTGTCTCAAAAATAAAAATGAAAAAGGTGCCATGTGATGAGCAGTGGAAGAAAATGGAGCTGATGAGACACCTGTCCTGTAACACCATTCTGAGGTGGGAAGGAAAACCTATTCAGCACCTGGGAAGGATGCAGTACTTGGCGATGGTGCAAGTTGCCAGTGGCGGTGTTGGGGTAATGTACAATGTGTATTAAAGAGAGAAAATGAATCCCTTCTGCCAATGTGCTCAAACAGCTGCACTCAGAGGAAACAGGGCTATAAGGGACCTCCCATGGTCATCTAGCCCATCCCGTCCTCATCTCACAGCATCTTTCTTAAACATTTCCTTTCAAGTCTGTCTAACTTAGTCTAAAAAAGATTTGATGATGGACATTCCATCCCCTAAGATGTACTATCTGCCTCTGTTCCGCAGAAATCCGAGGAAAGACTGCTGATCCTGTTCCCAGAAGATCTGCTTTTCCTCTCTGTAGATAAGGAGAGGACTACAATTACGTATGAGGTAACAGGGAATAGAGAAAATGGGCAAGAAAGCAAAGAGCTGAGAGGAGCTGCATCTTGTGAGCAATGGTGGGAGATGAGAAATATCTGAATATTAAGGACTGAAAGGAGAAGTCCAAGGAAAATGGTAAAGCATTGTTTTTCTTTACTTTTTTGAAGGGAAAACTCCCCATAACGGGCATCCAGGCAAAGCATAAACCAGCTATGCTGGGGGGGCTACAGTTTGAAATTACAGGTAAGACAAATAAGCTGAGAGCAGTGAGGAACTGAGTATGACCCGGTGCTCAGACTTGCGTTAGGATGGGTTATCTTATGAGGTTGTCTTCCTGTGAAGGGGATCAGTTGTACATGTAACATACACTAACATATAAATGTGGCTTTTTGCTTCAGATAACATTTCTAGTTCCATCTGGAGCTAGCAGGGAGATGCTCTTTAGGGTCTCACGTTGGTGGATGCCAGGCTTCAATACACGTCCCTGCTTCCCTCCTTGGCTCAACAGTCAACCCAGTCCCTGTTACGTGTCTTTTCTTTCCATGGGAAATCTGAGCATTCTTCAGGTTAAAAGGGAAGGGAAGAAATCCAGAGGCTGGCACTGGGGAGAGGGGATTCCTCTTGCACAAGGCATTAGCCTGTGGCTTGCCTTGCTATGTGCCATGGCACACGTAGCAGGCTCTCCTGCCTCCAAGCTCTTCCCTGATATCTTGCAGGCAGCCTAACAGACCCGATCCTGATCATCTGTTCTACAGCAGAGGATTACGAAAAATGCCTCTTCTACCTCCAGAAGGTATCGGTCAGAGAACTTTACTGCAGAAATTATCTTTTCTCAAGACTGAGACTTTCACAGCCACACATAGATTCATCTAAAATGTATATGCCTCCCATCCAGTCCTCTCCTTTTCCACAGAAAACTTACTTAGGCAGGGAGTTTTCTTCAAGCACCTAGTTTTCATTGATTTCAATGCAAACTGCATATTTAAATAAGCAGGACTACTGAGGGGAGGAGACTAGTTGTTAAGGCAGTTTGTCCTATTTCACAAAGCTGGAGAGACACATTATATCACATTACACCTTAAAATACCAGTGATCACACTACAGGCTTCTGATGAGTTCCCTGGATTCTCTCACATCCATATAAAGTGGAGTTTGCTTCCTTCAAAGCAGGACCTTATCTAGGTGTGAACTTGAGGATTCCACCATTTCCCCTTGGGAAGGGGAATCAGGAATGGAAAAGATGTTGGACTCTGTGTATTTATTAACCAAAATGACCATTCTTTAGTTGAGCAGGGCTATGTTTACCCGGCATATAAAATTCTTGGCAGAATGAGTACGCTCACATGCTGAACATGTGTTCCAGGTGGAGGAAAACCTGGATACTCCGACTCTTCCACCACCACCTGCCATCCCTAAGAAATCCCGGCGATATCCAAAGTAGCTCATTAGCTTGGAGCGACAACAAGAAGGGTATGGCAGATATGTCACCAGCACACAGTGAAAGAGCTACAAGAATGAGGCCCTTACCAGCAAGCAAGGATGGACCAACTATTCCCATGTGCTGAATGGGCTGTTGCAATTGATGCAGAATCTTGCAATTTTGACCTCAGCTGTACAAACACCTTATAGACAAGTTTTTCCCAATTTTCCTACTATATTTATTACCTGATTCTTCTCAGAAACATTGTAAAACACTGTGTAAATACTATGAATAAAACACTTCAGCCTGAACCTAAGCAACATTCATGTTTAAGGACTTTCTAGATTGCTTCAGGTAGCTGTGTTGGTTCATAAATACAGGGTTTGGGGAGCCAATCTCTTTCTCTGAAGCTGCAGGGACAGTACAGTTCTTAACTGTGAATAACCCCTTTTCTACAGCTTTTCTTCCCAGCCCAAACCAAGGGCAAAAGTTAATCCTGGAAGTTTTCACACTCAAAACTTTTTCCTGGTATTCTCTTTGCTGTCCTTCACCTGCTAAGAAAACAACACAAACAGTTTCAGCTTGGAAGTCGAACTGCAGGAATATAAATCCGTATTTAGGAGGCCAAGGCTACAAGTGATACCACGTTCACCTAGCATCATGAAATTAATACACTTCATGCAGAGGAAAACTTCTGAATTTGGTCCTAGCTTTTGCACCAGAGCATTAGAACTTGCCAGAACGCAGGGCAATCCAGCTTCTCTGGGTTTAAGGTTGTTGTTTTAAATCTCAATTTTCAATTCTGGCAACCGCTTCTCTTTTTACAGGAACAAGTGAGGGAGCCACAGGCGCAGCCAAATGAGGTCAGGTTCTAAGAAATCACAAACTTTGCTCTATTGTAGGCTCTTAAATCTCCCACTGGTGTCACGCGTCGTGACCCTGCCGTTCCAAACAGTCTGAAAACTCGGGTGTTAAAACAGTTGGCTCCTAAGACATCAACTACCCAGCTTGGAGACTCCCTCCCACCCCCGAGCAGCTTGTGATGCGGTGCCAGATAGAAGGGAGAGGAGGATGACAAAAATATATTTTCCAGCATAAAAGGGACTCTTTCCATATGCGTGGCATGAACAGAATTGTTCAAAAAAATGTCTCAGTTAAGAGAAGCCCAGCTGCTGCACAGCTGGAACTGCTCAGGACTCACCCCACGAGCAGGCAACGTTGCATGGGCTCCACATCCGTATCCTCACGTCCTGGGTGGATTTAATGGTGTCAAGGGGCAGCAACAAGGTTGCTGGCAAGGGAAAATGCTCCCCAGGCTAGCAGGATAAAATACATTTACTCAGTGGCAATAAGCCTTTAACCAGCACTGGTTGCCTAAGAACTTGTTTTGCAATTAGATCCCTCAATCCATGAGACTACTCAGAAACAAGATTAAACACAAGTGCTAGATAACTCCGGAGCAAGCAAGCGCTAATTGTCATCAACTGTGAGATTGCTGTAATAGAATGCATTTCTCCTGCACCAGCATGTTCCGTAAAAAGTTGCTTTTTTTTTCTTGTTAGCAAATGCAAAAAAATACCGTTTAAAGATGTCGTGTTTTATCTTTTGAAAGGGAATTCGAGCAAAAAAAAATATTGCTATAGGCATTTCATTGGATGTTATTAAGGGAAAAAAAAAACTTTTAGGCATATACAGAGATCAAGCTCAAGTTAAATCAGAACTTGAAAATAGCATAAACTCTCAGATTTGAGCTGAAAGTTGAGCCACAATCTGATTCAGATGTTGCAGAAATGATGGGGCTCCACACTACAGTCGTTTCTGAGTGGAAACTGAAGCATAAAGTTTGTTTGTTTAGCAGCTCCCTGTTCTGAGCTGAGAGCTTTCATGTTCTTTGCCACGAAATACAGCTCTTTTGTTGAAAATCTCCAAGACTCAAGTGATTCACATGGGGTTTTTCCCACTAAATCTGAGCTTTGAGACAAGAAGCTGATTGCTTTTCCCATCAACAAGCAGACCCGAGTCAGGTGGGGAGGTAAGTCAGAAGCAGAGCTGCTCTTCAAGGTAGGCACATAGAAACCCAAGAGGCCACTGTGCAAATTTCCCATGAATAATCTGGCTCTGATCAATGTGTTTCAATATTAACTGGCAGAATTGTCAACTATTCAACACCCGGAGCCACAAGGCCTTGCATATCTCACCCAGCTCTCTGATAAATAGACTTCCATTAGACACACGAATCTTTCATCCCTCACACAGGAACTTCTGGTAAAATTTTCTGCCCAAAATGTTGCTGCTTCTCTGCCATTCACAGGAACGGAAAATATTATCAGCCACCGTTTCCTGCTATTTTGATATTGGGTAGCTGAAGAGCAGCAGCAAGAAAATTTTAAACCACTTGCTTAAAAGGAGAAAAAGTGCAAGTAGACCCATCTAAATGGCAAAAGACTTTGTAAGAAAAGGGAAATGAATGGGGAAAGTAAAACTCAACTGTGCTCAAGAACACTGGGAAAACACAAAGAATAAGATCTTTCCAGAACGAGACCTCCAAACCTTTGCTTAAATGCACAAAATTCAAATCTCAAGTTTATTTTCCCTTCACAAAAGGCCACAGTAAGAAATCTTGTTGAAAAACACAGTTTGTAAAAAACATGGTCCATCCAGAATAAATACAGCCAATATAGAAGGGGCAGTAAGAACAACTTTAATGAAAAGTTATTTAGACTCCTGAGCATATTAAATCCCACAGTGTAACCACTTACAAGGCAGATCCAGCCTTGTACTTTAAATCCAATTATCCTGTTAAATCCAATCTCTTTCACTTTCTTTGGATGAACCTCAGTTAAGAACTTGTGCGTGTCTCAAAGCAGTGTGAAAAACGTCTCTCCTTTCAAGTGGATTTCACATAGGCATAACTACGGGAAAGATTATCAGCAACACAAGAATTAACAGTATTATGATCAGAAAAGGAAAGAATACATTACCATTACAAGGCCTCACAACATCACAACTTCCTTTTGAGGTGTAGTAGTAGTTTTGCATGGAGGGGAAGCTATGGCATAAGGAGTTTGCTTGCACTAAATCAGCAGCCTAAAGATTAAACTAAGACTATGTAGGAATGCATTACAGTGGATAAGGCTAATTCTTTGCACTTCGTTTTTTTCTTGAAGCTAGGTGAAATAATTGTAAGATTCAATAAAACACCACCAAAAATAAATAAATAAATATAAGTGTCTCCAAAGAGAGACATTAAGAGGTCTAGAAATCACAGCCTATGAGGAAGGATAAGAGCCTGCAGAGACCAAGAAGAGATGGTAGTTTTAAAGTACTTATAAAGATGCTATAGAATAAAACGAAGTGAGTTCTTCTCCTGATCATGATAGACAATATAAGCATTAAGTATCTCAATTTCTTTCCTTCTTTGATAAATAACTTTATCAGACACTGGATTGGGTTGTCTAAAGAAGCCAATGAGTCATCCCGATGGAAGTCTGATGGGCAGATGGATGTGTGGTCTAGCTGAGCCTCCCTTGCAGCAGACGAGCTGCGTGACCAGCTCTACCCTGTCCCACTTTGTAGGAGAGTCTGTTGTTTTACAACACACATTTGTGCATGCAATGCCTTCTGCTTCACATCACTCTTAATTGGACACACACATAATGAAAATAGCATGTCATTCAGACTTGGAGTAACTCCCTTTGAGTATTTAATAAGGCAATTAGTACAAGTTTGATATGATTGCTAGGCACAATGTCTTCTTCCCTTCATAGATGATTGGTAGGTTCACATGTTGGGGCTATGGACATACCCCATGAAAGCTGCGAGTGTCCTGTCTGTACTGTCATATTTTCTGTAGCATTGAAGTGATTGGTGGTAGCACTCTGGGGTTCCAGAAGTGCCACAGAGACTTGTGCAGAAGTTGCTATGGGCAATATCAGAGCAAGAGTCCTTACTCCCAAACCACGTTGAAACCCATCAATGGAAAAAGAAGGAAACTTGCATTAATGTCGCTGAACTGCATGTCACCCTGAGTTTGTTCTTCCTCTGTTTCTAACTGGTTGGTTTGTTGAGAAGAAACAAAGCAAAAGTCCCCAAAGACTCATTCCTTAGTGCTCTGTATATAAGGATGCCTTATGCTCTCAGCCCCTGACTCCTCCTTCCTTTTGGAAAGCTGAGTTCAGCTCTCCCTCTTTGCAGCACTTTGCAATTCTGTTTTCACTGCAGGCTCTGAGGGTAAAAATAGCAAGGCTTTTCTTCAAGGGTTTTGTATCCATGTTCTTCCTCTGGGAACTGGCAGCTGTAAGAGTCTTCTTTATGATGTGAGCTATGCGAGAGCCTAGGTAAGTTATATTCTAGACCTGCAGCGAGAACAAACAGAAACGCAAAGCACATATAAGAGGTCTTCACAGATGCCAACTAGCTGCCCATTCCCTTTAGCAACACAGCTTCTACCTGAGCAAGAAGCAAAAACACAGGCGGGCACTGCATTAGTGAAACCAAGCAACCAACCCCAAGTTACAGAGTAAATTTATTCCATTCTGAGTCTGGATCAAGGAGGACAGACCCTCTTCCCTGTGAAACAGCAAAGAAGTCCACAAAAATACACTTACTGTCAGCTACGTGGTGTTTTTCTCTTTTCAGCGACCATAGGCAGAAGTGCAAGAAGAGGGTCAACTGGATGAGCACAGACACAGCTACCGCAGTAAGAATGGCCAGAGTCGTGGTGTACAAAGACTCACTTATGTTAAGAACTGCAATTAAATACATTTAATAAAGTTATTTCCCCAGATATTTGTTTAGGGACATACAGTGTTTCCAAGTCAGTTTGGAGATATTCCCTATCTGTGGAAAATTATTAGCCAGGGGAAAGTTTCAGCCAACATTTGTAAAGGAATTGGATAACTAAGTTACCTTTTTTCCTGAGAAAATCTAGCAAAGCAGCAACACGGAAAACTCAGATAATTTGCCAAGAAAGTGTGCTCTAGTCAAGGACAATTGCTGGGCATTTCTGCCACTATTTCTGGCAATGTTTTAATGGTGTAATCTTGCCTTGGTCAATGATGGTACATCCACTAATAGTGCAAGAAGCATAACAGTTACTTTCAAAGCAAATATTCATGATAGTGAACTCTGGATGATAACTATACAAGTTTCCAGCTGCAGAAATGTAGAGAAAAAGGAGAGATCTAGACAAACGAATCGCTGTGGAGAGGTACCTTGCATCAAATCTTTTACAGGGAAACCACATACAACGTTATGGGTACGGTTGCCTGGCTTGATTGTTAGAAATCCAGAGCTTTCACAGCTAAAAGAAGAAAAAGAGTCACATTTAGATCATTCCTGTTTGCTCCTTTCTTCCTCTCACACCTTTCCCTTGGCTTCCCTTCTTCCTTTCCCCCTTTATCTTCCCAGTTTGTTTCCTTTTTTTCCTTTTGGAAGCATAGGCCAAAATATGGATGCTCCCCAATAAGATAACACTAGATAGTTTAGGTGCACTTTTCTCAGCCTCTCTGTTTCAAGTGATATCCATGCGAGGAATAATTTTACATCAGTTTGTGATGGACCTGAAAGCAGGCTGAACACATAACAGGGTTTGGTTTTGTTTTGGAAACCCATTATGAATAAAGCCAAAGTTGAAATAAATATTGTATACTGCTGAATTAAATTTAATCGATCAATAATCACTTTTTCCAATTTAAATATTAATCATTTGAGAATTTTATCATGCATATTTCAAAAAAAAAAAATTGATGAATACATACTCAGTCCAGCTACGGCACCAGCTATTCTTGACATTAGAATATGTTCCTGCCTTGCATGGTTCACACTTGAATGTGAAGTCTATACTGCCTGTAAGAAAAGAGAACATGAATATGAATTATTAGAGTATTATCAGTGTCCTTACTGAATGGAAAGATAGGAATACTACAGATAAGAATATGATGAGAATATGATTCTTTCTGAATTAGGAATCCGCCTCCTGAATAAATATATAAACAGTTCTTGCTGCCTTTTCATTTTGGGACATACATAAGTTGGCCCCTTATGAAAAAGGTACAGAATAATCTGATAGCAAAGGGCGTAAACTTAAGAGCCACCAAAAGCAGTAGATTTGTCAGTAAAAGTCAATATGAAGAAAAGCAATTTTTTTAAACAGTATGAAGAAAAGCAATTCCAAAAGCCTAAGCAAATAAAAATAATAATAAAAATAAATACATATATATATACACACATATACACCGAACTCCACCCGAAAGAGTTATTTCTATTTTAGTTACCAAGCTTAACCAGCTCCTCTCCCTCTGCACATTCAGGCAGTTTTTTGCAGTAGAGACATGATCTATCAGCACAGCTGTATCCTGGATGGCATTTGCAGTCCTCGTCCTCCGTGCCTACACATTTGTAGGCACATTTGTGGCTGCCTTCTGTCAAGAGGAAAGAGAAGTTAGAATTGCAGAACCGAGAAACTGAATCTCATTTAACCATTAGTCTCACTGGTTGGCGCTGGTGAAATAGCTTGTTACTGTGCTAAAGAATCACCAGAACAGCCCAGGCATCCTGAGGAAAACCTAGAGGATTTGAATTCAACACTACTCAATTTAACATCATGAGGACGTGAGCACTGCATGACTAACCTCTGTCTTACCTGGAATACCCGTACATGCAGAGATGAACAGAGGTAAGGTTGGATTTACTGGAACTCAGGTACCCAGGCTATGGGGCGAGGGCATCGCTGCCAATGACCCGAGGAAGCATTGAACATCAAGCCAGCTCTCAGGACACCAAAAGAGCTTTTCTCATTTAGGGTCAGCCCTGGTCTTCTGACTGATGCCCAAAGGATGCTTCTCCTGACAACAGCAGTTGCTTCCTAAATTCTGTTGCCAGAATTGGGCTGAAATCCAAGGCATCAAACTGATATCTTTTCTACCCTTTGTCGCTAGAAGAATTCAATTATGAACCTTCCTTGGACTCCAAAAACATTAACATTAGCTCTGAGAGGCTCCTGAGCTCATGACAGCAAAGGATTGATCATATCTACTGATGCTGTAGGAAAAAATCAAGTAATTAATCTGTTGCTTGGGACCAGTTTACTGTCCAACCAAAAAAATCTTGTGACCTTAAAGGAAATAAATTCATAGGGAAATACCGGCTAGCACCAGTTTATTTCATTTGTTTAGTTAAGAAATGTACAGAGCTGATGGGAAACTTCCCATATCTTCCTCTTATCAAGATTGGCTTTCTGTGACCTTCTATTAGTGACCTTCAAAGTTTAATGAAACCTGGCAGCCAAGGAGGAAAGGTTTGAGGATGTTCCTCTCCTTGTAACAACTGGGGATCTCCTGCTGGAGTCGATCCCACTGAGGAAAGACTTTCTCACCTCGTGTTGGATGACTATCTCAGTAGGCAGAGGTTTCCACACCATCACAGGCAGGTAATAAGCAGAAGGGAGGAACCTTTCAGTCTATTTTAGCATTGGTGACAGACAGGCACTGGATTGCAAGATGCAGATCACACAATTCCCCAGCCACTAAGCACAAATAAGTGATGCCTCCCCTTAATCTACACACTGCTTTCCATGCCATAGATCCCTGTCCTGCTCTGAAGAGATCCCGGTCAGGGACTACAGAGACATTCACCCTACAAAGCTGATTCAGCCTCTAGCTTTCTTCATGATCACCACCAACTTCTACACTTTATTTCTCAATGTGAACAGGAAAAAATGCAGCTTCTGAACAAAAAACCCCCAGTGCTTGTTGAGGCCATTGACTAAGGATGGCTCAACTGGGATTTAATGGATGGAGTATGGGAGAACTCCATTGTTCTTCACCTACTCATTGCTCAGTCCCTCAAACGAAAACTTTTTGCCCATGTGAGCAAGGCCAGCCCTCAGAAACCTCCATTCCCCTCCTCACAACAGGATAACCAGTAGAGTCACACAAAAAAATGCAAAATATGAGTCTATTCTGGGACTTAGAGGTGCCTTCTGAAATAAGATACAGGAGATAAGTCCTGCACTTTTGTTCTGCATTTACAGTTACTCAAAATACACCGACATTTACATACACACACCCCATTCCCCATATTTATTTACTGTGATTGACATAAATGAACCCTGACAATAAAGGAAAAAAAAAAAAAAAAAAAAAAACACAAGACAGACATTTCAATCCCTTACCAGGACCTGGCTGGCATTTCTTTTCCTCCCTGCTGATGGACCTCAGCTCACCCTGCGGGTACGGGGTTGCCAGAGCTTGCTCTGCCAATGGCCATAGACACACCATGACCAGCAGGCAAGCCTGGGTCTTGAGGAGACCAACTTCACCGGCTTCTTCAATCATGTCTTAAGATGTAAAAGCCAAAAGCACGCAAGCATGGGCTTTTAATCAGCCTTTCTCTTTGAAAGTCTTCCCCCTGACACTGTGGGAAGGCTCTGCACTTTTGTAGTGGTGGCCGCACTCTTCCTGTTGCTGCTTCTGTAGGGGTGGCGAAAAGATTTTATCAAGTTCTTACAAAAAAGCAGGACTAAGGAGCCACGTACAGGTGACTCCACTAAGAGAGCAGTAGGTAAGGAGCAAAATGTACCATCACGAAACTTCATTTTCACAGGAAACTTGAAAATGAACACAAATTACATATGATTGTGAACTTCAGCTCTCCCAAACTAATTTTTTTTGAACTTATAGTTCCAAACAATTTAGGAACCCTCAAGGACTATCAGATGTGCAATGTAAAGTAAGCCTATCCACACATTTTTTTCTCATTTTGATTCTGGTCATTGGTCATTCTGATTCAGCCTCCTTATGCTCTGGATTACGCAACTCTTGAATTATTTTCCAGAGCTGATGTAACTTCATAGAGATGCTATAAAGCCAAGAGAAATAATATTGTCCCTACCCAAGCTGCAAGATCGATGCTGGCAGCAAAACTGGAAATGGCAGTGGGCTAAGGGCACATGCTGCACCTCCATTCTCTGTCCTACAAAAACAGAGGCAACAAGGGACAAAATTTCGCACAGACACAGACATGTTGTCTCCTGCTGCTGGGTCTTGACTCCAAAATTTCTTGTCTTATATAAAAACACAAGCATATTCCCATCTCTGCTTTAAGCTTGCGGCTTGCTTTTCCCCTTGGCCTTTTCTCATCTCCTCATTCTCTACTGAAGAGATGAATTATGATGCAGAGGCAGTTATGAATAGATTCTTTTCCACACTGCATGTGATGACACATAGGTCAAGGCAAGGGAGAGTTGGAGGTATGAAGAGAAATGAATGTTCATGGAAAACGCCGTGTCTATAGCACTTGACACTCTCCGTGTTAGTTCTTTAGTTAAGTGCACAGCCAAGGTAACCTGGACAAGCTTCCCAGACTTACACTAATCTTTTTCCTTCAACGACATCTACACATTTTCCTGAAGACCCTTTTGTAGATATCAAAGTGCAAGTCAATCAACGCACTCTTCACATAGTCCTTGGTCTATGCCCATATCTACCAATGTTTCTGGCCTAGGCGGGAGAAAATTGCTTATGTTTGGGATGCAACAGTCCCTTCTAGTTTCCCAAATGTATGCTGCAAAGTTTCTTGCACTCATAAATGTGGTAGATAAAAATCCTTCAGTCAAGAGCTGGTATCCAAACTAGGGTCAAGCAGGCATCTACAGTCATGGTCATATATGCAGTCATGGTCATATATGCCCTTAGCTGGCCAAGGGACACACTTTCTGCTGCCCAACCATCCCAAAGACAGCTCATCAACACAGCTTCTGGGTCCAGTCCCCCATGCCAAGGCTTCATTCCCCCCTCCATCCGAAGAGCGTAACCGCAACCCTTGAGCAGCGGGATGGGAAGCAGATGGATGCACGCACGCACAGAGCAGCTCCATCAGCACTGCTTTAATCCCAAACGGGAGCTTTAACCAGACTTTTTGCTCAGCATCATAAACCCCCAAAATAGTGAAGGGATCTCCAGAGGTGCTATGGAGACAGCTGGGAAGGTGCACAAGCAACCCCAGCAAAACTGGCAAATCCTGCAGGCCCTTAGTATATCTGTTCCCATAATGAGGATACTGGTGAGTAGGTGCTTATCACATCTAGAATTAACCACTTTTTTCCCTTGTCTTTGTTGGTTGGTGCTTTCTAAACTGGTCTGCACATGTTTTCATTCTTGTTCAAGCATTACAGTCATGCTCAGATACTGCCAGATGATGGAACATTTACAGTCAGATCACAAATAATAATTGTACATTTCAAGCCTAAACCACTAAAGTCAGCAGTGACCTTTTAGAGAAAACCTGAATATCTGCCTGTGAAAACTTTGGGGGCTTTCTAAAGCTGATCTGACCTGTCTCCGAGGTAGTAGCATTTCATCTGGTTACTCCTTTCTTGTTCAGTCCTATAGTTGAGGAAGGTTGATGCTGTTGGATTCCACACTTGCTGTAGATCCAATAGAGTGCTCTGCATCTATGGAAGACTGATGCAAAAGAAAAAGAGACAAAGAATACAGTCACTTCTCTGAATCTCTAAAGGTAATTAATTCCTGCAAGTTTAGTGACTTTACTGACACTGGTTGACCTAATGTCGTCATAATCCAGGGAGAGCATTTGGTTTCCTGACAGAGAGATTTTGCTGATTACCCATAATGAGTGACCAAAGAAGCAAGCCATGCAAGTTCTCACAGAAGAGTTTGTTCACACGAAGTCTATGCAATTTTTGAACGACTAATGAAAAATGCTGGACTGAAGTATCTACACTGCCATGTAAGCTTCATCTCATAAGATGATTTTTTTTTTGTCTACCTGTAAGAAACTCTATTGCTATCCAAAGAATAACTTGCTTATGATCTTGGAATCCCACTTCTGGTCCCACTTCTGACCCACTTCTGGTCAGTCTAGTTACATATATCTTCATTATCTCACCTGCAAGAGGGGTTGCTCCCATTCTAGTCCTTTCCTGGATAGATTCTGCAGGGGAGCTCTGGGCAACACCAAGACTCTCCCATTCACCAGGGGGAGAATCTTGCCTCTGTGACCCATCTGACAGGTCCCATTAGGGTTGGAAGTCAGTAGATTCTACAGGCTACAAATCTTATTTACAGAAACAGATTAAAAATGAAGTTTCACATACCTGGACTTTTGCTCAGAACCAAGCCATTCCCCAGACTGGCACTTGCTGTGATGCTAACCCAGCTTTAGGGCTGAAGGCTGGTCTTACCAAAAAACCTCTCTATGCAAGGTGTTGCTTGCACAGAAGAGCAAGATCAGGGAATGTCACACTGTTAGCGACATCTGCTCTCACCCGGCTTTTATTTGGATTACGTAAGATTCCCTGTGATTCATAACTAAAAATAAATAAATAGTGATGTGGAGCTGAGGCACACAACAGTGCTCCAGCATGTACACACTGTTTGGGACACAGGGGCATCAACCTCCTTAGGGGAATGTAAAAACTCATGTCACCCTATCCAAAAAGTGAGGTGAAAAGGCATAAGGAGCAGTGGCTTGGCTGTAGCATGAAAATAGAAGGCAAAATTAAGTGTTGCTTTCAGCTATTGGCCTTTAGACCACGCGTGAGATTTTGGAGCAACGAGACCCGGAATTTGCAAATCTGGGGTGTTTGCAGAGCCTCTAATGCCTGCCCTCTTTTGGCACACACGCAGAATTACTGCCCTGCAAGCACCAGGTTGGCTTTGGTTTCGAAGCCAAACAGCAAGGAGGAGCAGGGGAGGTCCATGGGGACCATGTGCAGGTCCCACAGGCAGGGCAATTCCTCTCCCCCTCTCCTGCTCACAGACACCGAACCAGACAGATGTAAAAACCCCAAGTCCATGACGTTACCAAGCCGTGTATTTCCTCTTCAGCTTGCCACCTGGCACCCTGTATATCAGATGTGACCTTTGTGAGGTCTCTCATGGCAAATCTGAGTCCCTTTGATGCACATCTAAAGTCACAGGAGGATGTGAGGAGGAAGAGCAAAAACACAAGATAAAGGATCAAGGGCAGACACAGCTGCAGAAACTTCTCAGACATTTGTAGGAAAAAAAAAATAAAGGACAAAAGAACAATATTATGGCCAATACCTTAAAAAAGAATCACAAAGTGCAAGGTATGTGCATGCTTATTCTTACTTAGAAAAACCAAATTAAAGACCTCTATGCTAGCTTTAGATGCTGTTTTTAAGAACACTCAAGCAGACAGTTTTGCAGGAGCTTGTCGGACCTGCTGAATCAGGCCCCTACGGTGGTTGAGATGCATTTAACTTCCTAATCTGCTCTCACCCCTGGTTTAATCCCTTCCCAATGGGAATGAGCAAATGCAACTTGTCCTCGGCTCCGCTAGCTCCGCAGCCAGGGCAGCTCCTTCTTCAGCCAGAAGAACTCAACCCCAAATTGCAGGAAACTCCTAGGCAGGAGGCGGTAGGAAGGCACAGGAACCCAACGCACCCAGTCGTCGGCAGAAATCAGGTGAGATATTCGTGGAAACGGCCCCAAAACCCGCAGCACAGAGGAGCTCTGGTGGCGGAGCAGCACCCCTGCCAAGGCAGCAGCTCGTCTGCTTCCCGTAAGCTGCGTTTTCTTTGCATAACCCACAGCCTCAGATAGCTCACGAGTTATCTGCATCTTGCTCAAAGTTCTGTGAAAACGCAGGGCGGGTTTTACTGCCTCCCGAGTGCAGCAGGCCCTGCGAGGCTGATAAGCAGTTTCCACATATATCTGGGCGTTCCCTGGGTGCCATTTCTCAGATTCATCCCCTGTATTCGGCCACCACATTAAGACAGGGGTGCTTAAGCCATCGCACACCTCCATAGATCACTATGTTTAACACCAGCTCTGCATTTTTTGAATCATCTTTATCATCTCAAACCCCCCAGGTCAGAAGGGCTACCAGGCCTCATTCACACAGCAAAGCAAAACACAACTTGCTAAAGCCACCCACAAAAGTAGTCACCCAGTTAAGCCTTCTAAGCCACAGGATTGACCATTTGGCCATTCCGTTTATTTAAGAGAATTACACTTCTGTGCAAAAAGGGATCTTCCAGAGCCACACTCTCAGTTCCTGGGGCCAAACCCAAATCCTACAGTGGTTTTGGTAGACCTCAGCCAAGACTACATAGAAAAAGAAGTGCTCTTACATATATATCCCAATTAGCACTAGTGAATTCCCTTGCTTGGTAGACTCAGGGGAAGAGTCCAGGTCCAAGGTCTCAGTCTAAGAGGCTGCGTGGCCATGGGAATCATTTCTTGAGAACAGTTTCAAAGGCCCCGACACAGAAACCTACTGAGAAAGTCAATGTTCATCTCTATATTGTCACCCAACCACAGTGAACCATGCTGGAATGACTCTTCTTGCTCGCTTCCGTGCCCCAATCACACACATCATACATGGGCATCTACTGTCACAATTTATTTGAAAGTCACTATTATACCTTGTATATAATACAAATGTTTATATACATTGTATATGCACTTCAATATTAAAAAAACACTATTAATTACACCATATGTATAACATATAACAAAATATGTTTAAAAACATGTTTCTGGACACCAGTTGTATTCTTGAATACATTTCCTGTTGTATATCTTCACATATGCTTTGGTAACATGTATAGAAAATACATAATCTCTGCTGAATTATCTACTAAGGAATTATATTATAAAAGTGAAAAATATTTCTGAATTACAGAATAATTGTAAAAAATTCAAGAAGCAAAGTTAAAACTGAGGTATTTTAAATTACATCTAAAGCTATGTGCAATAATATTTCAGGTGCCTTTCATTTTAGATTTTTGAAATTGTTATCAAAAATTTCAATGCTCTCAAACTGCAAATTGATTGACTTGTCAAAATGTTGCAGAAGTAAAAATCTAGCTTCCATGTAGTATGTAGGCTCATATCCAGCTGTATTTTAAATGCACGCAGACCAGACCACGAATACTTCAGTTCTGAGCCCGTTTCCCTGACAGCATGCAGAAGTTGAGCTTGGGTGTCTATCTCTTGTTGGAACATCTCTGCATCCTTGCTGAAACACAACCCTCAAAGCTCTAGAGAGTCAATATTGTGTTGTTTTAAGAGACCAGCTATTGTCTCTTGTCTAAAGAGAACACATACAAAATTACTCCTTTTTGAACAATTTCACACCATCACAAACTTATTCATCCGCAGAAAAACTCTAAATGACCAATTATATGCTCCTAAATCTAAATAAGAGGTATAAATGTTTTGCCCAAATCCAGAGCACTGGTTGGATCCAAACTTGCTTGCGATTTCCCTCCACATCCACGGCATTATTTCGGACCAAGTCCCATAGAAGTGGTTTAAACTGAACTATTTCACTATGAGTAAGCCCAATTTTTTCTCCTGCAGGCTCACCCTTGCTGAGGAGGGACATCCCAGGCCATTAGCACACTGCACATACAAACATGGGAGATCTGGACCTGCCCTGTCATCATGAGCAATTCCATTTCCTGGCCAGACACTATTCAGCACATTAACAAGACGTTTTCTCAACGAGTAACTTTCTCTGAAGTCAGAAAACACAGAAGTGGCCGTGTCAGCACCAGCTGTGAGCAAGACGAAGCAATTGCGTGTCTGTAGGCACAGCCAACACATGCAACTCACCTTGGCTGAGAAGAAAAAAAGCTGAAAAGCTCCAAGGAAGCTAAGCTAAGGTTGGGGGAGATGATTCTACCTAAAGGTGGGGACATTCATTTGGAAATTGGACTGTAATACTGGAGATTCCTGTCCCAAGAGAAGAGTGACCTACCCTCCTTGACAGCCTAGGATTGTAGGTAAGAAGCAAACTGTTATAAAGCAGCTCCTCCCTCTCCCACATCCATCTCCCCAGTAATTAGTTCTTATGGCTTTGTAAGCAATTTCTTCAATCTAAAGACAATTTATCACTCTAAACAGCGTTGGTTAAAGTCATCCAGAGGGGCTTATCCATACTGGAGATTCCTGTCCCAAGAGAAGAGCGACCTGCCCTCCTTGGCAGCCTAGGATTGTTAAGTAAGAAGCAAACTCTGTTATAAAGCAGCTCCTCCCTCTCCCACATCCATCTCCCCCAGTAATTAGTTCTTATGGCTTTGTAAGCAATTTCTTCAATTTATCACTCCAAACAGCATTGGTTAAAGCCATCCAGAGGGGCTTATCCACTTGGGGCCTGGCAGCAGGGATGTTGTGTGCAGGATGCACCAAAAAGAGTGAGAAGGAATCAGATGATTTACACCACCACCAGTGACTCCCACGGGCCCAGACGACTAAAGCTTGATCAAGGAGACTCAAAGGAGAAGTGCAACTAAGCAGTTGCACAGACCCAACAGATATAGGCAGAGGACACTCCGTCACATTACTCATTGCAATCGATGGGCTCAGAAACGCAGGAAACACTAATGCAACGTGGAGTCAGTTTTTAATGAGGCTGGAATTGGAGTCGACTTGTTCTTCCTGGATAGGAAGGCGAAAGTTCGGTCCTTCTGAAAGACAGGGGGGGAAAAAAAAGTGTACAGAGTAGGCAAAGAAGGACAAAAGGGATGCCAGGGATGCCTAGTACATACAAGTGACTTGAATCAGTGCTTATCCTTCCAGTCAATGCCAGGAAACACCAAGTTTAAGAAACATATTTTACCGCTGCTCCCTTACAGAGCACGCTCTATAAATTCAATCTTCCTGCACAGCAAAAGGGGAGTCAGTGCTCTATAATGCAAAGGCAAGATACTGACACCTCCAGTGCACCAGGACCAAACAGAGAATTGAATATCAGCATTAACCACAGGTGATACCATGCTGTGCAGTCAGGCAACTTCGTTTTAATGGAAATAATTAGTTAAGCTCAACTAGTGAGCCCCAGTTATTCTCTGACCTCTGTCAGGTCTCGCCCTACCAAGCGACTCACCCTGCTGGTTGTTCCTACAAGGCCTCCTCTTGGTATCTTTTTTGGCTGCTTGGATAATCAACAGGAGGATGGACATTCCAGACACCACGAGCAGTATCAGACAAATAAGGATAAGTGATAAAGAACCTAAAGAGAAAAGGAAAGAAAAAAAAAAAAAACACAGAGAAAGCATACATCAATAAAGATTCATCATTCTAGTTGAAGTTTTCAGGACTTTCTGTCTTCAGAATAAGGAAACTAGAACAGTCTCAACGGGGGCCATCCCTGAATCACCCAGCCTATGAGTTTCAGCCTTCAAGAAAGCCACCAAGAAGTCTGGAACTTGCACATGGCTCATTGAAAGCCTGTGTAAAAAGAGCAGCTATTGCTTCTGAGAAAGAGTGCTGTTCCATTTCTCATGAAACCAGCTACAAGGAAAATTTCTGACCAGTTCAGGTAACTACTAGCAGAGTAGGACTCGGCCATTCCCCCTCCTTACCCCAATTAGTGTCTGTGTTCTTATCCGGGCAAACAACAAAAGGGACCACGCTGGGTTTGGATGAGGAGAGCATTGCAGTTAACATCTTACTCCTGTGGTGAGTGGTGGAAAGCTGCAAAGCAGATGTCACACTCCGAGAGGGAGCTGGCTGGGTCCCCTCGCTGCTGCAAATGGCATCCTCTGATTTCGTCCCTGCACGAAGCGTCTCCTTTCCAAGAACACTACAGCTAGAGATGTGAAATAAATTAGTGGGGTTTTCCAAACATTTCAACACAGTCTTCACCTTTTTTTGCATTCTGCAAGTATGTCGAGAACAAGTAATTGTCTGATATCAAAGTCATCAGCAGAAAAAAGAAGCCAAAGTGATCCAGTTAACTATTTTTCTTAGTGCCTGTGCACACTGCAACCTTGGAGCACTGCTGCACTTGACAAGGGAGCCTTTTTCTAGAGAAATATACCCAAACCTTTAGGAAAGGCTGAAAAATTGCTGAATACAGACAGATGCCTCAAACCAGTATACAGGCTCCAGACAGTCAATCAGGATTTCACTGTATCTATTGTCAGTTTATTCTATACAGCAGCTTTCAGCATGGCCTGAGCATTTATTGCTGCAGAAAAACATTGCACTGAATGTGTATCTGTGATACGTACTTGGTCCAAGGTCGACAGCTTTCATTGCCCCCTGTGGAATAAAACCCCTCGGGACATGGTGAACATGCTGAAAAAGAAAGGATTAAACGTAATTTGGTAACGTAAGTACATGACAGTTAAACAGCAATTGCAGTAATAGCATATACTAATAGACTACAATAAGAAATCACAGTCTACAACGGTTCAGGAGTAAGACAACATGCTCAATGTTTCTTTTTAGTACCCAACTGGCAAGCTTTCCTGCTTTCTCTAGAGTCTAATTACGGATATTAATTATGGAGGGAAGCATCAGTATCTCCAACAGCTCAGATATTACAGAGCAGCAGCTGCACAGGTGCCCTGCAGTTAACATTGGCTTGGAGATGTAAAAGAAAACAGTTTCTGCACTAGGGAAAAAATAACCATCTCCTCTGGTCACTAAATCACCCATCACTGAACTCACCAAAGCGCCGGGCGTTTTTGTCGGCTGGCATGTACCCTGGCACGCACGTGCAAATCCTGTCAGAGGTCTTCTCACACTTCTTCACCTCCCTGCTGCCCTTCACTAGGGACAACAGAACAGAGCACACATCCAATTACTCAGGACAAAGTTTGGCAATCATTGTTAAAATCCCCATTTTAAAGCACTTTAACAATCCTTTTCAAGGCTCTATCATTAGTAGTGACTGGAAAATATGAGCTATTGAAATGAGAATCCAGAAAGTCTTTGGATTTGATCTTTCTGGGTAAAACGCAGGTGCTTTATGCTACCAGATTTTGAGGAGAAAGCAAAAGATAAGGCATATAGAGAATGATTTGCTCTATATAACTCACATAAGGAAATAACCCCTATACCACTGACTTACTAACGTCGCAGACTGTACAGCTCCTGCAGAAGTTGTGGTTGTGCTCAGGACTAAAGAATTCCTCTTTGCAGGGAGCACAAGCTGTTTCTGTTGTTGCTGTGCAACGTTTTGTCATCCATTCACCTAAAACAAAGATTAAGCAGAAGATTAAGCCTTTATTCCCATACATTAAAGTGAAATACCCTAAGTCCCACTCCCATTCAAAACCTGGCTAAAAATGTACAGCAGATGGAGAGTTAAAAGCCCCCCAAACTTTGTCCTATAAAAATCACTGTAAATTAATCAGTTAACAAGACTAGCAGGGATCTAGTGTTGAGAATTGAGGCAATGCCCCAAATGGTTTTCCTAGAACATTCCGAGTGTTATTTCTCCAGATCATCTTTTAAAATGGCTTAGGTACCAGGGTTTGCAGCAGAAGTAAAGGGGCAAAAACAACCAGCACCAAAAAAGAAGTCCCAAAGAACAGGTTTTACTGTGGTAACAGTCTGATATTTCCATCTCCATTGCCTACACAGTGAGACAGAGGGGAAGATGCAAGGCAGCAATCTGTTACTACTCCCAATACTGAACAGCTATCACACATTGCATTTAGAAACAAACTCCAAAGACTTTCACCCACAAACTCTATTTTTCCAGCTTAGCTGGCTTACAGCACTATTTCACAGCACATCACAGTTTTGCAGACCAGGATAATAAGGTTTAAGTGAGTTGTCCAAGCAGAAGCAGTAAATCCATGGTGGACCTTGGCAAAAGAGTTGGACACGGTCCTTCGGTCTCGCTTCTGTCCACATGGCACAAGCCCAGCAGGAACGACGCAGTTTTAATGACCAGAGTTTTATAGCTGTGTTCAAATATGCCCTTATTCTCAGAATCTGTTTTGGGGGGTTGTTTGGTTTGTTTTCCTCATTTTCTCGTTCTGGAAGTAAACCATGAGCACCGAGCTTTTCCTCACTCGTTTTCTCTGTATTTTGGGTGCTATCCGTGGCAAAAGAAAGTTTTTTAGTGACCACAATGCAAATTAATTCGCTTTCCCAACAGCAGCAGATTTGAAACCAGTGCAAAAAAAGGCTGTTCTTTCAGAGCAACACGGAACAAAACTTCTAGAGAGGACTATCAGAGTTCAGTGCTTTTGAGAACATGCAATGAACTGCCTCACGTCTCAGATCCCTCCATTCCATCAGCCCCTTAGAAGACGCTACTATTTCTACCACATCAGTGAACACATGCATTTTGTGCAGTAAGCTTAACTATAAAAATAGAAATTACCTTGGAAAAAAAGAAAAAAAAAAATCGCATTTATAGACATGATCTAATCTCTCCCCAGAGGTAAAGATCTACCCTTCCTTTCTGTCAGTACTGACTGTACTGAATGTACTCGCTCCTTGAACTGCAGTATCACCTGTTAGTTGTGGTTAGTCTGCACCATCAAGTCATTTTATAATGGAAAAAAAGCATTTTCTCCTAGACCACTAGGAAAAAAATAATTCATGTCTGACAGTTTTCAATTTTCATTTATTATATGATGTTACATTTTTGCTTAAAAAGAGTCTTGGCTAGTACAAACCTCAATATAAAAGCAATAATCTTTAACAGACTGAATTACCTGAAGGTTTCTATTATTTTGCAATATTTCCGAGTTGCATTTCATTAAATAAGTGAAAGGATGGTAACATAAGCATCTTTTCTCAACTCATACTCCCACAATAAAGTCTAACACATGAAGGAAAATAAGCTGCACAAATGACATTAAGAATATTAACTCTCTCAGCAAAGACTTCTCAAATTCCACACGCTGAAGAAATAACTAGGAGGATATGAAATGCTCAAATGCTTTTTCCCTGTGAACATTTTATGTGTCTCTATGGTATTTTAACTGTTATTTTACACCACTGTGGGTTGTTAACTGATAGATATTACATCTAACAAGCACAACGAGTATTCAGTGAAGATTACTTACCAGGAGCACAGTCTTTGCAGCATTTTTCGCCAAAGGGATATTCGTGCTCTTTACATCTCACTCCCAGGCACTGGGCAATAGCAACCGCCAGCAGCAAGAACAAAACAGCATTAAAACGTGAGTAAAACCTCACAACTAACATCTGTCCAACCATAACGGAGCCCTCAAGTCCCAATAAAAACCTGAGAGGGGCCAAATCTTGGAGGAACCGACTCCAGACTGCAGGGGAGCAGAGCGAGTTCATATGCGAGGGGCCGGGAAGTTCCCCACGCCCACTGGTTCCTCTCTCCTCACAAAGTGCACTTTTTTGCGCCTCAAAAATTAAATATTCAGAGGCAGAAAGATAACGTGCTGAATTACCAAAAGGTTTCCATTGGTAGTTGTAAAACAGGGCACACGGCAGCCCCTGGCAAGGCGCGTAACCGCCTGAAGCTAAAGCACCCGGCTCGCACGTAGGAAGAAGCAGGAGACGCTCCTGGTTTTTCTAGCACACGAAAATCTTTACAAACTGGAGCCTCAGGTAAAATGAAAGGCAGCCCACACAGGCTTAAGGCAAAGGATAGACAAATTCTTTCCAACAGGTCTCATGGGAACAGTAAACCTGCGACTTTTATTGCTGCATAAAACCAACATTGTTAATATGACATTTCTTGTGTCAGCAAGACCAGCGGTGGTCTTGGTCTTTTCCTCACAGATAGCAAAAGGTACAGGTGTGAAGCACTGGAATAATGTTCACTTTTGATACAAGCCATTTGCCAACAACAGAAAACAAAAATACACAAACCCCCCAAATTATATTTATATTAAGATAATAAATTTAATCAAATATAGTATCTTGGATTTTCAGGTAACCCTTCAGAAAAAAAAAAAAAAATTACAGTAAAGATTGAAGTCTAATCAAAATTATTTTCTTATTTTAGACCATAGTGGATATAACCCTTGTGTTGCGAGATGCTTTTCAGAGCCATCAGAAAGCTTCCTCCGTGCTGACTGAACCTTGCTCTGGCAGATGCAAAAGCAAAGCCAGTATCACTGCAGTCTCAGCATTCAAGAGTCCATCAGCACCATTAACTTGCAGAAAAACAAGCAGCTCTACCAGGTCTAGTGCTGAACTTAAACAGAAATCATAATCCCAAAAGACGGATCCCATCTGCTCAATGCAGCATCTGCAACTCCACAGAAAAATCCTCCCCTTAGTGCTGTATTTAAGAATTAACTTTAGGCTTTTTTTTAGACCTAAGTAGTCCCAGTCTTCCACAGTCATGGTGTAGAGGTAAACAAGAAAAACAGTCACATTGTCAAACTAGTTCTCCTTTTAACTCATATGTAAAAGAGGTTCTCTGTCACTTTTAAAGCAACGTCCTTCCCCCAGCTTCCAAAGAGTTCAGTGATACTGGGGGGGTGGACAGTATAGGGCTAGATTGAGATATATTGAGAAAAACACTGAAGGATAAATCAGATTATTGTAAACGAATGAATAACAGGAATATGGCTATCATTTCTTTTCTTTCAAGTCCTAAATATCTCTAGTAACAGTTACTGGAAACCAACTACGAGAGTAGCAGTGGAGTTTATGCCTTCAAACGAGCTACCACAACACGTTTCACATCCCTAAAATCCATGAAGAACTGAACTCCAGAGCCAAATGCAATGACATCAACTGAGAAATTCACTGCTACTCAGTACTTAACACACTAATGTGCTGACTACACACATTTGTAGTAGAATTGTGGAAAGAAAGAAGTGACATGACTATAGAAACCACACATAGCAAAAACAGCCCAGAGGGCAGCATCCTGAAACAATCTGCTGGGTTTTTTTTTAGCTAAGAAATATTGAAGTGGATATAAGTTGTACACGAAATTCAAAGGGATATTTTGCTGAGCAAAATAGAAGCTTTTTAATCAGGCTACTGGTGGATTTTTTCATGACATTGGAACATATGGATTTGAACAACAATCCCTTTCAGAAAGTCAGTATCTCTTAATGTTATTTGTGATTTCCATGGATCACCAGCTATGAAAATAACAAAAAGAAAAATTAAATATTTAAGACGCCTTCACCCAATACGATTAGCCAAAAACAGCTGGAAATTCAGCTGAATTAACTGTACAAAATAGGGTGAGCTGATGTAATCCAGAAGCTGCATTACTATTTTAGACTCCCCCCTGCTCTGCGTCTCTTCGTATTGCAGGCCATAGAGCTGCAGTTTTTTATTTATATGGACGGAGCTTTTAGTCTAGGACAACACACTGTATGCATACAACACAGATAGCAGCAAGGTAACTTTCTTTTTCGTTTTGTTTTTGTTTTGGTGAGTTCTTTTGGGAAAGTGAGAAGGTGCTTCGGAGCTCTGAAGAGGTGAGCGTGGTCAGAACTCTTCATGGACATTACGTGCATAGTCCATAAGTTTGCTGCCAGTGAAGTATTCACTGTATTTCAGGATCTCCTCCAGCTCTAAGTGATGGTTTTGATTTTCATCTGCTACTGCAATCATTTGCTTGGCTTCATTTAGGGCATTGTACTCATTCATAGGATCCATATATTCCTAAAACAAGAGACAATCATTTTCACTCACTAAATACACTTTTCCACAAAGCAGAATCGTAAACCCATTTTAAACTACCTGGCAAACAGATTTAGAGGCAAAAGTCCTTGAAATGAAACATGTACAGTTGGAAAAACTTGAAGTTATTTCAAGTTAGATGATGGATATTTTAGTTCATGACACAGAAGAATTATTAGAGATTATTTTTACCTTCACTTTCTACACATAAAACCCTGTAAGTGTTGTTTTATAAAACAATATAATTAGAACAACACCTGAACATATATATATATACTTTTTTGAAAAAGTTCACAGATAAAACAGCTATTTTTTAGGAAAAAAATCTCACTGAAAATGCTATTAGTATTTTGCCTATGTCTGAATGTTTATATGTTTACCAACATATATTAATCAACACCTCTGATACCCATACAGAGGCATATTAATAAGGTTAGGAACTTTAAAATTACACTCATCTTTTCTCGTGAAGGACCATTTTTTTACAGCTTATCCTTTCACACTGCTTACGCTGCAGTTTGAGTGATCGTAGGCAAAGCACTCAGAAAAGAGAGCTAGAAATGAGCCACAAGTCTCTTCCACTTGCCACCCA